TTTGAATAATTTGAAATAATCTTTTACAGTGTTATCTATTTTACTATATTTGATTTCTATCCTTTACAGTGACAAGTTAGAAAACTATTTGGCCTGTTTTCACAACTGTACTCCTTTCTAATTGCCTCTTAAGCTTCTTATTTTTTCCAGTGGCTCCCCTCTCTATCTTTTGACAAACATTTCCATTCACTTTACACTTGTGTCACGTTATATTTTTTTTCCTCATTTCCTTCACAGGGTATGAATCTCACCAGCTAAGCCATCATTTATTGCCCATCTCTATGTGCATTTGAGAAAGCAGTAGTGGTGAGCTGTATCATTGAAACATTGACGCCTGAGATTATTGTGTCCACTAAGCTGTTGGAAAGGGATTGTTTGGATTTGAAGTTAGCAATGAATCATTGAATTTGTATAGTGTTGAAGTAGGCCATTTGGTCCATTGAGTCCACACCTACCCTCTGAACAGCATCCCATCCAGACCCACCCCCTACCCTATCTCTGTAACCTTACATTTCCCATGGCTAATCCACCTAACCTGCACATCCTTGAACACTATGGGTAATTTAGCATGGCCAATCCACCTGGCCTGCGCATCTTTGGGCTGTGGGAGGAAACAAGAGCACCCAGAGGAAACGCACGCAGACACGGGGAGAATGTGCAAACTCCACACAGACAGTCACCCGAGTTTGGGTTCGAACCCCGGTCCCTGGTGCTATGAGGCAGCAGTGCTAACCACTGAGCAAATGTGTGAGCAATAAATGACTGCTAAGCTGGTGAGATTCATATGCCATGAATGAATTGAGAAGAAGAAATATAACGTGATGTAAGTATGAAGCAAATCAAAACGTTTGTCAGAAGACAGAGAGAGGAGCCGCTGGGAAAAATCAGTGATATCTTAACCAATGACAATAGTGAGAGTCTTGAAACTTCGTTTGGGTCAAATCACCTGATACCCTCGTTTTTACAGGTGCTACACATTCCAGGTTTGAAAGTTGCTGTTGAAAGCGTTTTGGTGAGTTGTCACAGTACATCTTGTAGACAGTACCATTACTACCACTGTATACCAGTGATAAGGGAATGAATGTTTAACATAGTGGATCAAGTGTCAATTAAATGAGCTGTACACATGGACAGATTCTGTCACATTCCTGATCTGTGGTTTATAAAGCTTTGAGAGTCAGGAGGTGAGTTTCCCAATCTCATATCTGCTTTTGCAGCCTCAATATTTCATGTGGCTTGCTTGGTTAAGTTCTGGTAAGTGGTGAACCATCATGAATGTTTATGTTGAGGGATGCAGCACTTGAATCGGAAGGGAAGACGGTCAAGTTCTCTCTAGTTGAAGGTGGTCTTTGTTTGGCATGTTTGTTCACTTATCACTCATCATCCCCAACAGGAACATTATCCAATAATGCAGAATGTGGGCATTGACTGCTTCAGTATCTGAGAAGTTCTGAAACAAACTGGGTGCTGTGCAAGTATCAGTGAACATCGCAAATCTGATCGTCCAATGGAAGGAAGGTCATTGCTTAAACATCTGAACTCAAGGAAACATTTCTTCTATTAATTCACAATTTCCTTTTTACTTACATGTGATGTGGGCATCTCTGGCTTGGCCAGCATTTGTTGCCTATCCTGAGTTGCCCTTAAGGTGGTGGGTGGTGGTGAGCTCTCCTCTTGAACTACAGCAATCCATTTAATGTACATACACAAAATACCCTGAGGGAGGGAATTCCAGGATATTGACCCAGTGACAGTGAAGGAATGGCGATATATTTCCAAGTCAGGGCAGTGAGTAGTTTGGAAGGAAACTTGCAGGTGGTGGTGTTCCCATGTTTCTGCTGTCCTTGTATTCTAGATGGAACTGGACATGGGTTTGGAAGGTGCTGTCTATGGAGCCTTGGTGAGTTATTATAATGCATCATGTATATGGTACACGTTGCTGCTACTGAGTGACAGTGATAGAGTGAACACAGATGCAGTGTCAATCAAGTGGGCTGCTTTGTTGCATATGGTGTCAAAAGTCTTGAGCATTATTAGACCTGCATCCATCCAAGCAAGTGGGGAGCATTCCATCACACTCCTGACTTGTGCCTTGTAGATGGTGGGCAGGCTTTGGGGAGTCAGGAGGTAAGTTACTCACTGCGGAACCCCAAAGCTCTTATAGTGAATGTGACTCGTCCAGTTCAGTTTCTGGTCCATCATAACATCCAAGGTGTTGATGGTGAGGGATTCAGGAATTGTAGCCATTGAAATGTCACGGTGGTTAGATTCTTTCTTGTTAGAGATGGTTAATGCCTTGTATTGGTGTGGTGCAAATGTTACTTGCTAAGTGTCCGCTCAAAGCTGCGTATTATCCAGGTCTTGCTACATTTGGACATGGACTGCTTCAGTATCTGAGTCGTGAAAAGTACTGAATGTTGTGCAACTGTCAGTGAACATCCCCACTTCTGACCTTGTGATGGAGGGAAAGTTTTTGATGAAGCTGAAGATGGTTGGGCCTAGTACACTACCCTGAGGAACAGCTGCAGAAATGTCCTGGAGCGAAGATGACTGACCTTTAACAACCTTTAATTATCTTCCTTTGTTCCAGGTACAACTCCAGCCAGCAGAGATTCTCCCCACCCCCTCCCAGTTCCTACTGGCTATAGTTTTGCATGGGCTTCTTGATGTCAAAGGCAGTGTCACCTCCCTCTAGAGTTCAGCTGTTGATGCTAGTGCATAATTTACCAGCTTTCATTGCCTATGAGAAGATGGTGATGAGCCACCTTCTTGAATGCAAGAGCTTTGCTAGGCCATTTAAGGCAGAGCTTCGGAATGGATGGTAGCTGCTTCTTCCTCACAGGTTTATCTGCCGCTGGAATATTACATCAGTGTTGAGCTATGGATTGGGAAATTAGCAAAGAACTAAATAAAGGGCATCCATCAGTAAAATGAATTATATCCTGGCTGCTTGTTATAATTTTTAGCAAAACTAGTTTCTGAATTGTTAAAAAGATTTGATTAAATCAAAAGTAAATTTGCATTTGGATTACACATAAGCAATAAAGATCTGAAAGTTCCCAGGTTTAACCTGCAGCCTGTAATATATCAAGTGATCTTAGTTAGCTAGTGTTAAAATTGGTCTGTGTTTTCCTGGATGGGGAAGTAAAGGACATTTCTCCACCCCGCCATCCCTCCACTCTGGACTGCTATGGCAAGTCCTGTTGGAAAGCATTCATATGGACATTAGGAAACATACTCAAACGTGCCATCTTGTCCTCCATGTTCAAACAGTGGAAACATTTAACATAAGAGACAGTGGCAACACCATTAAGAACTTGGTTAGAGACTAAAAAAAAACTGCAGATGCTGGAATCCAAGGTAGACAAACAGGAAGCTGGAAGAACACAAAAGGCCAGGCAGCACCTGGAGGAAAGGAGCAGTCAATGCTTTGGGTATTGCCCTTCTTCAACTGGAGAAGGGTAATACCTGAATCATTGATTGCTCCTTTCCTCCAGATGCTGCCTGGCTTATTGTGTTCTTCCAGCTTCCTGTTTGTCTACCATTAAGAACTTGGCTGATTGACAGGAAACAGAGCAATGGTGAAAGTTTGAAGTTAACTGGATGAAGGTATATGGTGAGAGTGCTGTAGGAGGTGGTATTCATAGAATCACTACTGTGGAAACAGGCCATTTAGCCTATCGTCCACACCGACCATCCAAAGGGCATCCCACCCAGATCCACACGTCTATCCTATCCCTGTAAATCTGCATTTCCCATGGCTAATCCACCTAGCCTGCACATCCCTGGACACTATGGGCAATTTAGCCTGGCCAATCCAGCTAACCTGCACATCTTTGGATTGTGGGAAGAAACCCATGCAGACTTGGGGAGTATGTGCAAACTCCACACAGTCACCTGATGCTAGAATCAAACCCAGGGCCCTGGCGCTGTAAGGCAGCACTGCTAACCACCGAGTTGATTTCATAAATTTAAATCATTGTCCTAAATCAAATGTGCACAGCACAATTTTGAAATTTACAGATGACAAAACTTCAAGCTACTGTATACTATAAGGATATTACAGCCTTCAATACAAGACAGACAGGCTGGTGGAATGGACAATGGCAGATGAGGTTAAATACAGAGAAGTAAGAAGTGATACATTTTGGAAGGAAGGAGAGACAATATAAAAGGTAACAATTCTAAAGTGATTATAGGAATAGTGGGATGTACACAATTTGTTGAAGGTGGCAACCAAATGGTTAGTAAAGTATTTGAGTTTATGGGATTTATAAATAGAGCCATAGAGTACTAAAGCAAGGAACTTATGGTGAACCTAAATAAAATATTAGCTTGGCTTCAGGTAGAGCATTATATCTAAATTCACACTTTAGGATGTATATGAAGGTACTTGAAATGTGATTTATAAAAATACTTCTGGGCATGAGACTTCAGTTCACTGCATATATTAGCAAAGCTGGGACTGTTTTCTGTGGAGAGTCTAGGAGAAGTTTGGTAAATGTGTTCAAAATCATTAGGGGCCAGGCCAGAGAAGGTAAGGAGAAACTGCTCATTGACAGAAGGGTCAGAAAGTGCAATTTGAAATGTGGAGGCAGATTCAATTTTGCATTTCAAAAACAAAGAAAATATTTTCACAACCGCAGAGAAAAGGCAAGAAAGAGATAATTGCTGAGGAGCTGAGAGAAAGTTGGAACAGGCAATGGGCTGAATAGTCTCTGTGCAGCAACTGTTGATTCTACTATTCCTTGATTCAGTCCACTGGTAACCAATTCTCTGTTTAAAGGTGGAGGTGGGAACTGAAGTTGAGTGCAATTTGCCCCACTAACAATTCTTATTTGGGTCAGGTTTCAGTCTCTGGATATTAATGTGGAATTTCACTGAGAACTCCAGATGAGTGAAAAACTAGTGAAAATCTGAAAATGCCAGTGGTAGACACAGCAGACTCTTATAAAGTAATAAGATCGAATCAACTTACATAAAATGATGCTAATACAAAGTACACAAATGTAGCCCATTTTATTGGTAACTCAATGCATGTTTAACATATGTAGAAAATACTTCAATCAGAAGACAAGCTACTTTGGAAACCAAAGACAATAAAACAGTGAATTACAAGATAAACAGTTTCATCACAATGGACCCCTTTTCCCAGTTTAAAGTTAGTATTATGAACTTTTTTTAAATAACTATAATCTCTTTATCTTTTGTTAAATTTATTATTTTACAATAACCTCTACAGTTTAACTGCCAGACTACCATAGAAAAATCAATAATTTCTATGAGCTGCCTACACATTACATGTGATAATCACATAGCTATATCAAAAAGTAAGAAACTGCAGTTCATACAAGAACTAGAGTAGCAAATAACATTATACAAACCAGTCAAATAACCTATTATAGCAATATCAATGATACAAGCCAAGTATGCTACTAACAATTGTTGCATTCGCTACAATCATACTATTAAAAAAAACACTAAAGTCCACCCACATATGATTAGCATTAGTAAATGCAGACACATACAGCAAAATAATGAGAACATGCTCCAGCCAACAGTAAATAATGACACACCCATATGTAACCATATATAAGTCAACCCTATAAATATATACTGTTTATATAGATTTTAAAGAGACAGTGCTTTTACAGCCCTACACAGGTTATGTGAAACAAAAAACTCCTGGAAAATGGTGTTTGAATCAGTGCAGCAACCTTCAATTCCTGGAAATGCTCAGTCAAGCTTAAAACAAATTTGTTAGATTTTTTTTCAAATAAAGATAATCAACATTTGACTACATAATTAGCTTGAAGTTATCCATGATTAATGTTGGTTTAAATTCCAATCCCTCCATCCTCCTCTTCTAAAGAAGCAAGCAAGCTGCATTTGTATTCAAAGGTGGCTGTGACAAGGTTCATCAGGTGCTATTTAAATTCCATGTCAATTGTTTTAAATACAACCAGTGTGGGCCTCTGACTATCTCTTTAAATGTACATTTTAGATACTAAATGACTTACACAGGATACAGATGGTTTCCTTACAAAACATTGACAAAAAATTTGTTACAAAGTAGTACATAAAGGTGCGAGGACACTGGCAAAAGTTTACCTACAGGTCTATTCGACCTCATTTTATGGTCAAAACCAGTGTTATTCCTTGGGCAAATGTTTTCATAAATAAAACTAAATTTCCAAAATTTTGCATTTTGCTCCATCCCAAAGCAGGTTTAGCCACAAGAATCCAGAACTGGGCAGAAATCTAATATGGTGAGACTCTCCATTGGCAACATCTGATAATTAGTGACAGCAGAAACTCAACCCTTCATTGGTACTTTGCTGTGCTGTTAACTGGGGCTACTCCTTTGGAAGTGGAGTATCCTACTTTGTGGACAGGATAAAAAAAACAACATACATCTCAATCTACAGCAAGTGCATTTCCCATTGACAGGGCATGAATCATTTATTGACAGCAAAGATTTAAAAGGTGCTTAGCTGTAGCTTTTAAAACATGTTTTTCTTTAAGCTCACGTGTACGAATGTTGGTTTTAAAAAATAAATGTCCCATTTTACAAGGTCAAATGCTCTTCACTGAACCAACAAGATAGATGTAATACAACAAGACTACGAAATGCTACATCATGACAGCACTTTGCAGAGTCTTGGGAGAGGTAAAGGGGAACATCTGGCTCAGTAGAAATCCAATACAAAGTCCCAGAATGTCAATATATATTTAGTTTCCCTGGATTCGAGATGGTACGGCATCTAAAGGGAGCGTGAAGGAGTAGATGGGTTAGAGGAGTTAGTAGCTTTCAGCAACTGGTCAAACTAGATTTTTCATGAAGTAAAAATACTTGACAGTAGTGAAATTTTAAGTAAGAGTCACCAGATTTTTGAGCACCACTTTACCTCACTATGACTGTATCAGTGAACAGCATTAACCAACTCAATGTATTATAAGTCTGCTGTACAGATTTTGCTGGCCTATGGAGCTCTCTCCACTCAGCTGGAGTTGTGAACCTGCATGCCACGAACCAAATACAAAACAGGATTCACACATATATTGTGCTCAGCTTAGAGAGAACGATATTCTTTCTGAAACTAATAGGTTCATCCTCACACCTTAGTTTGCATTATACAAACCCAGCTTGTGCGGACTGGAAAGTACAGGCCTCAACGTTCTTGACATCTAAAAGTTCCGTAAGGTGGAGCACTCTAAAAATGCTGTACAAATATTTACCTGGTTATAGAAGCACTGGCGGAATGTTTGTTTCTTGTTAGAAATTTAATTTTTTTCAAAAAAACATCTGAACCAGCAGGCTAGTGTATTTCTGTAAACCCTCACATTTCTACCAGTTTATCATTTTATAATGCTGGTATTGCGCGAGATAAATTCTAATGTAGATCTGTGCTCTCCAAACATATACATAGGAATAATGCCTTTCCTACAGAAACACCCACAAAACACCATCTCCCGGTCAACCTTGAAACAAGACAGGTTTTACAACACCAGAGGTATTTGACAAAGACATTTTCTAAAAGCCATTTCTCTGGGAGATTGCCAGGTGCACATCAACTCCCTGCAACCTTATGAAATCAGGGCATGAAATAAGAGTTAAGTAAGGAAACAAAAAGAAAAAATGGCTTTCATAAACACTTTCAACACCAAGTAAGGGAAGTAGTGTAAGTAATACTTTCCTTTCAAATTCAGAGTGGAGCAGAGCAGCTGTTTGCAAACAAGAATGTTAGCTTGTTGGATTGAATAGCAGATTTTGTTTTTTAAAGTTGTAATTTAAGATTAGCAAATACTTTGCATATCTGTTAAGCAATACCACTTATTCCATGCCCTATAAATGAGGCAGAATAAATAGGCTTTTCTTTGGTGTGATGAACATGTGCTTTACAGGCAATTTGCCTGCATGAAGCCAAAATCTGGGTAGTCGCCTTTCAAAGGGTTTACTCAGACAGCATCCTACTGCCACAAGGAATATTAGCATCCATACACTATTGAAAAATAAATTTTAAAAAATTACACATCGAGAAGAACCACAACCACCTAAAGCTAATTGCACATAATTTTCCTCATCTGAAAATCCATTAAACAAACCAAAACACTGCACTATCCTCACGTAAGTACAATACGCTCAGCCATACCATTGTAACTTAATAATAAGGTAAAAATCAAAAGGAACTGAAGTTCAGAAGACAGTACATGGATACATGCATTTTCACATTCTAAGTAGCTTGCTGCATTAAAAGGAGCATAGTTATATGTGCCAAATGAAAATAAAAATTTAAAACTTCAAAACAGAAACAAGAATACTGTTTCAAATTCCATCTCCCTTTCTTAAACTAAAACAAACTTCAATTAAAATACTCAACTGATTTTTTTTAAAAAGACAAACTTAAACGTTTTAAAGTCTGTTTCAACAGCACGATACGCTTTCCTGTGCTACCCTCCCATCACTTTGTTTTGTATTCCCGAGAGGCCTTCTATGCACACACAAGTCCAAATGATCTAACTGTAACAAGTTGGGATTCTCTAAAGCACAGTGTAAAAGTTTTAATTTAATGTACTATGTAAAAATCTGTTAAGGCACTAACTAGGGGAAAGAACTCATCAAATAAGCCCCCACAACATTCACACCTGTGCAAAAACTGAGTCAAAGAATTACTCCCATCCAGAACACACGGATGATGCCTGTTCTGCAACCACTTTTTTTCAAACACAATTACTTCTTCATCAGTGCTATAACATTTAATAAAGTTCCAAAAATGTATCCAAAGACACTGCATGTACATTCCAACACGTTCCAACTTAATTTCTTTTAAATTGACAGGTTAAAAAAAATCCCTCTGGGGTGATCAGGAACTAAATTTTGAGTTACAAAAAATACAGAATTCAAGTATCATAATTTACATTTTTGATCAGACTGTTGTAGCTAGTTCTGTTGAAACTGTAAGAGTCACACGTCTGCTTCAGCAGCTCTGATGCTAAAGCTGTATTAGTTGCTGGAACTAATTGAACTAGTCCTATACATAAATAGGATATTATGGCAGTAATGTCATGGCAAATTACACAAGCATAACTGACATAACTCAATGCCACAGGCACTAGTGATTGAAAGTCTATACAGTGATGGTGTGTAACACACCTTCAAATCTGCATGACACACTAAAGATACCAACAAGTTAGGCAGGGGAGGGATCAAAATGGCTCTGGAACATGATGTAGAATAGGATTTAAACACAGTTTTAGGGTGTGTGCATGCATTTAGTTATTTTATATTACAAATCAGCACTATTGATGCCCAAATGAAATCTACACAGCGCACAAAAGGTTCTAGCGGTGATGTAGGTGCCAGAATACACCTTAAATCCCTGGGCTCTGTGTAATGGCATAGTATGTGCTACACAATTAAAATACACACCTGTCCTCCACAGGTTTAAAGTAAGGATGACTTGGAATAGTTTACTCAATATTTAATAATACAGCAGTGACCATATTTATTCACCACTTCTCCAGCTTCCAATTCATTTTAGTAAGCTTTTCATCCTCAACAATTCTTGATCAACTACGAAGAACATACAGGCAAGTGAAATTTACATAAGCAACTGCTTAAATTTATGCTCACTGAAAAGTGACTAAATGGTTCTTAAACCTGTAGCTTTAAATAAAGCTCACTAATCCTGTATGGACGACAGCACCAGATGATTGAAATGTTCAACTGAATCACTTCTCAGAAGAGCAAGTAGATGTTTTCATTTCTTATTTTCGTGCTTAATTACATGTACTGTCCAGAAACCAATACTTTAAGAAATCCAGATTAATACAAAATTAATGTTGCAACTAAACTCTAAAAATGTGACATTTCAAACTATTTTACATACTATTCAAAAGTAATTTTTCTTTAATTTTGAAGCCCTCTCACAAATGTTCCAAAATACAATAAAACAGTGATATGCTTGAAGATTAATGAGTTATGCAAGTCAGAATTTGTTTAGGCTTCAACTTTTCAATCTAAATGATGCATCCATTACTTGCCATTTTATTATGTAATAGGCCTAGAAAAAATGCATTATTTAAATTTCCTAAGCAATAGTATTAACACTTTGAGCAGCATAAACCTATTTCAAGTAGCAGATTCATCAGTGTGTTCAGGCAAAGAGCTGGCAAAAGTAAAGCAACAGTACATTTAAAAACAAACAACATTTCTGTTGGTTCTGAAAATTATTTCCAAATCATTGTAAAATATTTAAAATGTGGTCTATTTCCAATATCCTTTTTTTCTTTAAAAAAGGGTTAAAAACCAAGTCTCCTCACTGCTGGATGCTCTGCAGACTTGTGACCCAGTTCAGAAGCAAAACATGACACCACAGAAGAGTCCTGTCTAATGGAATGAAGTGTACTCCTCCTTCATACAAAACTGGATTTGTCTAGATCTCGTACAGTAGCACAGCACATTTGCAAATAAGAAAGCTACAGATAAGAATACTGATTTATTTTAGTGGGACTGAGTGGATAGCCAGCATAAAGAGTAGGTGCCCTGGAAGCATTAATGTATGACTGGGTAGCAAATGGATGCTGGTATTGACTGGGAGCAACGCTGGCAGATGGCAGAAGATTTGGGCCCATGCTGACTGGCACCTGTTGGAGGAGACTGGTTGGATGAGCCGTGTACGTGGCTTGTTGCATGGCATGTCTCGATGAGCTTTGTTGGTTCAGAAGATGGGCCATGGAGCTGGAGGTTGCCAATGCAGCAGCAGTTGGTGTGTAGGTATACATGTGGGGTTGGCCTGAAAGGTGCGTAGGGGCTGATACAGCCGTCAGGTGAGGGTGAACCCCTGGATGAGTGGGACTATTATGCTGGAAAGAGTAAGGAGGTTGAGCAAGAGTTGGTGTCACATATGCCTGTTGCCTGCGGGGAGCAGGATTCACACTTCGCTCTTGAGAGACGGATTGCTGGGCCTAAAAGAAACAAAAAAGAGAAAATGATTTCTTAAAGATAAAATTTTGCTTTTTTTGCTCATAAAAGTGTACATAAAGTGGTTTTCTGAAAAAAATAATCAGACTCTCCAGATCCTTTTGGATGATGACTTCTTCAAAAAAAAAAGAAAAAGCACTAGTGGATACTGTGAAGAACCAACTAAACCTGGAAACTGAGTAACACAGACCATCGGTACAGAGGTTCTGAAAAACTATTATGAGCAAGCTTCAGTAAGGTCACGGCTAAGATGTTACGATCCTTTATTCCTCAAGCTGACTATTTGGCATTTTAGTGGCTGGAAAATTGCAGGCTGGCGAGCTGCAGAAAAGTTGCAGGCAGTGTTTCTGGTTCCTGCATTCTTAATATATATTCCTTAATAAATATAGGAAAAATGATATTAATCAGTGGATCTTTCAGGATAGTATGGGTTGTGGACTCCAAGACAGTGATGGCTGCCATGAAGCTTGGACGTGATGGCTGCTTGAATGCTAACAGCTGTGAGGCCATGTGTTTTTGTCTACTGCTGGCCTTTGCTGAATGGACAGGCTTTTGAAGCTTGAATGCCATTGCAAATTAAATCTCTTTTTGTGCTTTAAAAGCCTGCAGTTTAAACAATTCCTACCACAGCGAATTTCTTCTAAATGTCTGCTTAAGCTCAAGAACTAATCCCGTCACCCGACCAATGCCACCCCATGTCACCCAGGAGCTAAAACGCACTCCCAGCTTTCCCCAAAATCAGGGGTTCAAAAGGCAAAACAACTCTGACTGCTACTCCCAAGAATTGAGACACAACCCTGCCTCTCCATGCACAGGAGCTCAATTACATTTCAATCCCATTCAGCTCAGAAATTCAAACAACACCCCAGCAACCCCCTCCAACTCATGCGCAACTCATCACCTCACCTAGGGACTCAAATACATCCACTCCCACCCTGGAGCTAAAACTCATTTGTTCCTATCACAAGGCCAGAACTGCCTTCCGCCTCCACCCCCAGGCAGAAACCATTATAATGGTTTGGAAGTATGGAGCAACTGTTGGAAAATGGAATTAGAATAGTTAGGCGCTTGTTTTTGACTGGTTCAGACTCGACAGGCAAAAGGACCTTTTTCTATACTGTTGACCAAAAACTACAAATCAATGTCCTCTAGTTCAAGTTAGCAAATAGGAACTGCTTTTCTTTGTGTCTAGATTATATGAACTTGTCATGAATCTTGTACACCTGAATTAAATCTGCGCTCAATCTCCTTTGCTCTACCATCAGCTTCGTCAATCCAACTTTGTAGCTTTAGTTTCAATTTTGCCCTTTATCTTTTACTTATAAATGGTCTGCCATTACAGGTAGTTTGTGGTTGCTTTTCACAGCATATACTTGTCCTGGACCTTATTGATCATTGCTGATAAACGATAGAATAACAACGGAACTGATGTGAAACACCATTCTGGCTAAACTGCGCAGCAGCCTGAGAAACTTACTGTGCAGGCCGTATACAAGTTGGTTTATGCAAGTTGATGCACATGCAGCCAAAACAAAAATTTAAAAGGTGCACACACAGACAAATCGGCTATACACCACACAAAACGTTTAAGGGCACGTGGATTACATTTGTTTGCAATTTCCACACCAGTTAACCCTGGTTTCATTCTAATCCCCATAAAGTCAGTTTTATTATGGTCTTAAGTATTTCCCAACCTTTATCTTAAAAGTTATTTTTAAATTTTTTTGCTGTAAAACTGGTTTTCTCCCTAAATAAAACTGTGCATTGATCTTACAACTAAAGAGAAAAATTACATACCTGACTGAGGTTCAGAGGCTGCCGCTGACGGTACGTGGTTGGTGTTGTTGAGCTTGAAGTCTGACCACTCATAGGCATGCCCGTTTTCGCCTTATAAACATTCGAGAAAAAGCCTAAAGGGCATAAGAAATTCAAAGGTGAGTGCACAAGGCAAAACTTAAAAAAAACATGCTATATTTCAATCCTCTTCAAGGTGAGGAACAAAATTCAGGTGAGCCTAGAAGACAGAAAGGAAACAAACAAATGCCCAAAAGTATAATTAAATAAAACTAATGTAGATCTACAATAAATTAAATAAATAAATCCAAAGTAGCAAATTGGTCTTATTTTTGCAGGAATTGAGTTCCCAACGTAGGATTCATGGTTGCACAAAAGCTATTTCAAAATCCCACATTAATATGTCGGTATACAGGTGGAATTTAAATTCAATTATAAATCTGGAGTTGAAAGCTAATCTCAGTAAAGGTGGCCACTAAACTATTAACAATTGTTACAAAAAAAAATCCATATTGTTCACTAATGTCCTTTAGGGAAGGAAATCTGCTGACCTTAGTAGCTTGGTCTTCATATCACTGCAGATCCACAGTGATGTAGCTGATTCCACAGATGGGCAATACTGGCTGTGCCAGTGACATCCATTCCCACAAAGGGATAAGAATAGAATAATGTATCAGACAATCAAGTGAATACAACATCCACTTTAAATTATTTTTCCACCAAATAAATGTAGCTGAATCTTGTCATTGCTTCAAGACAAGTCCTTTCTGACCTTTTCCTGTTAATATTCTATGGTTCCTGAATTTCATGTGGGAAGGAAAATATTTTCCTTCCATTGGTAATTAATGTCTTTCATATGAGGGAAAGAGGGATTAAATCTCTCATAAATGTCCAATGCTGCTGCCAAATGGAATGAATGTACAATAGTACTCCATGTCAGTACATTAGTACGAGTGATGTTTAGATGCGTCTCAATAAACTTTTAAAACCAAACAAGTGTGGATGTTTGCATTTCAAAGGTTAAGAATGGTAACACTTCCAACTCAAAAATAGAGATGATTACTTCATCAGTACCAGCTGTTGAGGCCACAATTTAAAGTGAGAGAGACAAAAATAATTTCAAGGAGAGATGGTGAAAAGAAAGGAACCTCAATTTGTACATGTTTGAAACACTAATAAGAATATTGGAAAATTGATTTGATTTCAATGTCTCTCAATATCAGTTTGGTTGAGGAAGCTCAGATGACAAAACCAGTTATACATTTAAGTACTTGAATTTTTAATCATTGCAGAATAAATTCTGAAGCAAAGATAAAATGATCCAACTAAGACTTTCATTGCTGGAAACACTGTGGTACACAGTCATATTCCTACCTGACAAACTGTTGCTTTCTCCCATACTGTCACTGACTTGAGGCTTCAAAGGCTGTACAATGATTGTACGAGATCCGGAACTATGACTGGCATCCAAAGTCCTTTTAGAGGCTTCCTGTGTACTGCTTATAACTTGCGTTGCTCGAGGGCGTTCACATGGATAGGGACTGTTACTGTTTGAGGAGTCAGATTCTAAAGAATCAAGGACAGTGACGTAACTGATGACATTTGATCTCTGTTTCATGCTAGAGCTAAAAAAGAGGAAATAAAATATTTTCACTGGTGGTCAGGCCATCTCAAATGATTCCAAAAACTCAATTGTTGGATGTATGATAGTATAGTGACACTTAATATTTGTTTGACCTCCATTTGTCCCTTTCCAACTCTGGATCAATGTTCCTTATTGTGTCATCCAAATACTAATTACTTTGATGAGTCTTTCTGCACAAATAGAATATAGAAAATGTACAGATACAGAATGTTGTTGATCACTACAGTCCCAATTTCAAAACTGATCACTGCCAGATTATCCATGATAGCGGAGATTCCTCTTTTTGATGAACATCACTTGCATACTGCTGGGAAGTGTGTATGGAAGTCAGGCAAGGACAACACTGAGGTCAACAACACTGCTTCTTTCAAGATCAAAAGCTTGTTATACGATAAACAGGTTGTGAAGAACAGTTAATTGAGTATCATAAGATATGAGTCATTTATGGATTTAAAATTGCCAGAGTGTGGGAGAACAAAGGAAAGATACTGGACTAAAAAAGCTAAAACTACTGACAGCCTACGACTTGTGTGGAATGGAGTCATTTCTTGGGAGATCTGAATTTGTTGACTAAGATTCTAGGACTAAGTTTATCACTAATGTTGTGCATTTGCATCAAAATTTACAGAAAAACATTAAATAGTTTGATCCAAACCAGGAGGCACAGGTAAAATGATAATGCCAATTCAAAGGCAGATTTCAAAGTAAATGAGCCATGATCTGATGAGCGATAATGCAGATTTAAATGTACTTCTAGCGCCTCAAAGTCAAGCAAGCCTTGGCTACCTAGATTGCATTTGGAAGTGGTGTAGGTAGTATCTTCACCTCCTGTGATTATTTATGTATAATAATATACCTACCTTCCAACCTTTTGCTTCGTTTCTTCCTCTTCATCTGTGTCACTACGAATGGTGATAACACTAACAGCAGGACTGGGTGTATCAGGAATCACAATGGTCTGTCGCTGATGGTCAAGTGTTGTGTTGCAGTATGGGGAGGGTGCACTTGAAGGACTGTTTTGAACCACCATGTATGTTTGAGAGGGAGTGACATCCAACACAGGAACATTTCTGGTACAGAATTAAGTAACAGACAAGTTTGTTATGGAAAACTAGTGATTTGAGATGCATGGCTTAAAATCATCAGCTAAAAACTTTCACTCAAGCCCTATTCAAGAAGATATCAAAACAGTTAGAATTTTATATAATTTGGAAATTTGAAGAACCTGAGCTCACCATGCACAGACAAAAAATACAATTTCTACAATGCATGAAAGGTTCATGTATAAATCCATATATTCCTTCATAGATGGTTATTTTAACTAATTTTAGTGTTGGTATACATCACGTATGGTGCATGCAGTTATTTCAGGGGTTTTCCAACTGTTTTTGACAATATAACTGCAAAGGGATCACCTACAATAACTCACCATATATCTGCTGCACTTCTTGCAGATAATAGTGAATACTGTGGATCAGATGTTACTCAAGTCCAGAGAGTAGTTATCTGTAGTCTCAAATTGAGAGTAGCAAATTCCACTCCTTACAATTTTTAAAGAATATTTTTTGACAATTTCTTTCTTTTTCATCTCTTCGCCTTGATGACGGCGACTCCTGCAAGGTGCAGTTCCACAGGTGCTGTGCATCACCAGAATTGTGACTGAACAGGCATTCTTGTGCAAGACTATCAGGGCAAGTACTGGCATACTACCGAACCAAAGTGGCACCACAGTCAAGCTTAACAACTTGGGATTTGGGACACATCAGTTAGGAACAGAAGTAGGCCATTTAGTCCTCAAGTCGGATTCACCATTCAACAAGTTCATGGCTGACCTGTTTGTGTTTCAAATTCCACATATATGCCTTTGATTCTCTTGTCTAATAAGAATCTAGCATTCCCCATCTTAAAAATATTAGACCGAGTGGGGCATCAAAGGGCCCTAGCAAAACTGGAATCAATGGGTGTCAGGGGGCAAACTCTCCGGTGGTTGGAGTCACACCTGACACATAGAAGATGGTTGTGGTTGTTGGAGGTCAATCATCTCAGCACCAGGACATCTCTGCAGGCGTTTCTCAGGGTAGTGGTCTAGGCCCTACCATCTTCAGCTGCTTCATCAATGACCTTCCCTCCTTCATAAGGTCAGAAGTGGGGATGTTCACCGATGATTGCATAATGTTCAGCACCATTTGTGTCCCTTCAGATAGTGAAGCAGTCCATGTTCAAATGCCACAAGATCTGGACAATATCCAGACTTAGCCTGACAAGTGGCAAGTGACATTTGCCCCACACAAATGCCAGGCTATGACCATCACCAATAACAGACAATCTAACCACCACCCCTTGACATCAAATGGTGCTACCATCACTAAATCCTCCACTATCAACATCCTGGGGGTCATCATTGACCAGAAACTCAATTGGACTCATCACATGAACACTGTGGCTACAACAGCAGGCCAGAAACTATGAATACTGTGGCAAGTAACTCCCCTCCTGACTGCTCAAATTCTGTCCACCAGCTACAAGGCACAAGTCAGGAGTGTGATGGAATACTCCCCACTTGCCTGGATGAGTGCAGCCCCAATAACACTGAAGAAGCTTGACACCATCCAGGACAAAGCAGCCCGCTTGATTGGCACTACATCCACAAGCATCCGTTCCCTCCACCTCTGATGCTCAGTAGCAGCAGCGTCTACTATCTACAAGATGCACTACAGAAATTCACCAAAGGTCCTCACACAGCACCTTCCAAACCCACGACCACTTCCATCTAGAAGGACAAGGGCATCAGACTTATGGGAACACCACCACGTCCAAGCCACTCACCATCCTGACTTGGAAATATATCACCATGTCAAAATCCTGGAATTCCCTCCCTAATAGCATTGTGGGTCAACCTACAGCAAGAGGACTGCAACGGTTCAAGAAGGCAGCTCACCACCTCCTTCTCAAGGGCAACTAATGATGGAAAGGAAATGCTGGCCCAGCCAGCAGTGTCCATATCCCACAAATGAATTTGAAAAATTTCTTCTGCCTTCCGAGGCAGAGCTCCAAAAATTGCACTACTCCACTAAGAAACAAGTTCTCCTCAACTCTGACCCAAGAGAATGCCCTGTAATTTTTAAAACAGTGTCCCCGCCCCTCCCTAGTTCTGGACTCATTCACAGAAGGAAATCTCCTTTCCACATGCACCTTTGTTTTACATTAACAGTTGTGCAAGCTTTTAGTGTACCAACCAACTGCAAGATGGCACCTTTCACAAGTACAAGCAGTAAAACCTGTTTAATCTTTTGACTTCTCAATACAGTTTGGAAGTATATAAGAAGTTCTGACTTAAATATCTTTATGCCTTTGCGTTTTCCAAAGGATCAATTTTATCTTAAATCTTCGATTTCTGCTCAAGTCTAAGCAGAATTTCTTTAGATACAGCACAGAATTATTTTAATTCTTCAAGTTTAAGAGTTGCTATAAAGGTATTCCATTCATTTCCAATAATTACAACACGGTTTCTAACTTAAACAATAGTGCAAGGTAATTGTCAATTTCACTGAATCAAGATTTCTTCACTGCATTACTGAACAATTAACATTTCTTAGAAAAATTGTTAAGCAAAATGCTTTCCAAACCCTCCTGATTTCAGCAGTCAATATTCCGAAAGGAAAAATATTTTAATTCTCCCATAGAACGTTAGAAGGTTGAATGCACTCATGAAACAAGACATTACACGTCGTAAACCATTGCAAGGAACATTCCTGTTGCACACACCAAAAATGATTATTCAACCATAATTTTTCAATTTCTCTATACATTTATAGCATTTGTTTACTTTAAGTCATGTGATTTTGGAGAAGAATCACTGACTTCACAGTGACCTGTACAGCAAACATTTCTTCATGATTTTAAGATCAAATCAGTCACTTCAAATACTCTGTCATCCCACTATACTCTGGATTACTATTCGTCCCACTTTTGGGATTTAGGATTTCGATTGTTATCTAACTAGATGTAAGGAACATTCAGAACATAGTAATCTGTGTTGACAGGAAAATTTTGTTTGGTTATTGTTTAATCATTTGTCAATTAACAATGCTCAAGAAGCTCAACACCATTCAAACAAAGCAGCCTGCTTGATTGGCTCGAAATTCACCACTTTCAACATTCACTCCCTTTACCACTAACACAGCATACACCGTCTACAAGATGCACTGCAGCGATTCATCAAGGCTGCTCCAACAGCAATTTCTAAACTCGCAACCTCTACCATTTAGAAGGACAAGTGCAGCAGCTTCATGGGAGCACCCCCCACTGCACATTCCCCTCCAAACCACACACCGTCCTGACATGGAACTATATTATCATATCTTAAATGCCCACTGGTCAAAATCACAGAGCTCCCTATCTCTTAGGTAAAGTACTGAGAGTGTATTCATCCAACATGGGCCACAGTGAAGGTGTCGGACCACCTCTACCATCTGTTCAAGGGCAATTAGGGATGGGTATTAAGTATTGCCCCAGCCCATATTACGTAAATGGATTTTTAAAAATATACTGGCAAATTCTGAATGTTTAACTTCTTGAAGATATCACCCACGTGCTCAATTAACCTTGCCCCAAAATAATTAATGCTTGTTGTGACAGTTTCATAAGTGTATATGTCCCTGCATCTTCCTTGT